AATTAATGGCTTATTCCGGTAATGGTGGCGGAATTAAGAATTGGCAATCTGAATATACAGTAGTTGTATTTTGACTGAAAAACATGAAATAATTAATAATAATGTAGGGTATGCGAGAGATTAAGGTGTGAATGAAGAATGTTTATAACCAAGCGATAGAAGTGTAGGGTATTCGAGAAATTAGGGTGCAACTGAAAAGTGTTTATGACTGAGCGATAGGGATCGAGTGACTGAGAAGAATGTTTAGGACCGAGTGACAGAGCTTGAGAGATTGGGAATGAAATAAGATGCGTGAAGGCAGCTAAAAGGGGGCAGTCTGAGACAAGCGTTGAAAGAGTCAAGAAGTATTAAAAGTGTATTAAAACCCAGAGAGTATTGCTTATTACACCACTCCTACACAGTACACACATTGAAAATCCTACAATAATAATAATAATAGTGTAAGTGTAATTATTGAGAAATATAGGAAGGAAAGGAAAATTTAGAGAAAAAGTGTATTGCAGGAAAGTATATTACTTTTTTAGTTTGTTTGAGAATTTAGGATAATACTAATAATGTAAATCGTGAAATGTAACGATAACATCTATATAATATTTATCGTTCCGTTAGAAAAGTTCGAATTTAAAGTTAACCTGAATTTCATTGAATCCGATATGTAAGTTTCGCTTGAAATTTACCATTTTAAAATCCTCGGTTCCCATTCTGATGTTGCATTTAATGAAATAATTTGTATGCAACTTTCTTACAGTTCCTTTATCATTCTCCGCGAGGTGAACTAAGAGTTTCAGAGCCTGTTCCTTTTTCTCTCACGATCCTGTTAAACAGATGGAAAACTGCTATTGAAGACACTAGGCAGCACGCTGTAGACAGAAACACAGACGACTGTACGTACATTTTGTTTTGCGATTCTCTTCCGAAAGGACTCTTTTATAATGCGACGCTAATTCGAAATCAACGGGAGATTATGAAACGAAGGAGGATGGATAGAGGCTGAATTCAATACACGAGACGAGTGGAAACATGCTCCGCTAATAGTGAAATATGCCGGATAAATGTGGATGATAAAGTTTTAAAAGGAAATTCTAATTGAACCGGGAGAGCTGGTAGCGTACAAAGTTAATCGATAAGAACACGGAAACGTATCGAAAAGACTGTACACTCCGGGCGGATGGTTATCTTTTAATTGAATCGCGATAACGAACTTCGTTAACTGTTCAGTTGCGAATTCAATAGTTCTTAATGCTTCCGAAAATATAAACAAACGTTTCGAACGAAACGAAACGAAAAATATAAGTGTACATTATGGGGATGATCGATATTGAATTGCGTTCAGCGATAATTTATTGAATCCCGTTAGATTAGAAGCATTGCTAGTTTGTTTTGAGTATTAATAAGAGAGAATAGTGGATTTCACTATTTCTACCGAAACTGTCGAAGATCTTTCGAATGTTCAACTTAAAATTATTTTCTAAGTTTAATCGTATCTTCTGAATTAACTTTTCGACTTCTTCAGTTATAAAATTAACTATAGGAACATTCAACCCAGAAAAAATAATTAAACTGGGAAAATAATTTTAAGTTAAACTTTTAGAAGGTGTAATGACACCAACGGTAGAGATAGTGTCAATTATTTCTTTGAAAATTTGCTAAGAATTTGAATCGTTTCAGGAGTATCCGAAAGATTCAACTGTCAAACTTTTAATATAATTGAAATTATGCTGCATCGCATCTTATTCATTGTTATAATAACCGTGTGATTATGAAAAATAAATTTTTTATACTACACGTACCTACGATTTTCTATATAATCATCTTTCTCTGTTCTTCAGCTTGTTATCAAAATATTATTGCAATGTTTATTTGATGTAAGAGAAAATTATGACTTCCCTGTTCAAGTAATAGTATAATTTATCTATAATATACTCCATTCATGTTCATTCCTGATTTCATTTATATTTCACAGATCTTCTAAAATTTACTATTACAATTTTTATTTATTATTGCAATGTTTATTTAATGTAAGAGGAAATTATGACTTCCCTGTTTAAATAATAGTATAACTTATCTATTCCTGATTTCATTTATATTCCACAGATCTTCTAAAATTTACTATTTTCATAAATCAGTTAAAAATATTATTTTCCTCGACATAAAAATACCGAAGAATCTTTATTTGATAAAATGCGTACCAATCGCGTGTTGTAAAGTGAACGCACTCGCGCTTACACACACACACATTCGCATAATATCGAATCGGACTATAGAATTGAACGGATTGCAGATTACACTGATGTTTTCATGTAAACATTTGCGACTGCCAGGGCTATTGTCTGCCCGCCCGATTTCCCGGCGCTTCCATTCGCGGCCGTTTGTCTGTCAAAAATTGTTACAATAGTGCTTGTTGAATATAAAAATTGTCTGCGGATTTAACGTTTCATTATTCCGGGAGTTCCAGACGTATAATAAAATCATCCCATTTTATATTTTCCTCGAATCACCGAGCTGTTACGCGTTGAACAAGCGATATTAGTTTTATCTCGCGATTTTCATGGAAACGTAACTTTCTGCGTGCGAAATGGGTCACATTCGTAATCGGAATGGACGAAGAAATAAATTAATTCTGATTGTCGTCGTTACTCGGAATTTTCATGTGTAGAAACTTATGGGTTATTAAGAGTGTTATAATAAGTTCCAACAAATGAACATAAACGTGTTACGTGCTAAATCTTGTCCATAGTTCCCTTCGCGAAATTATAAAATTTATATTATTACAATTACACGGTAATGAGATTCGTTAAAAAGTACTAATGATCCTTCATTTCCGTTGGACCGTTGCGTGTAGTATAAAATCTGATAGAATTATTTCCTGTAAAGTTGCGTTTAAAAGTATTCCTTAATTATTATCGTCTCGATAATGAATAGTTCCAGAAAGTTGTAATTAATAACAGAAAACAATTAAAATCCTATTATCATTTGCATTTCGTTCCTCTTTTATTCCCCGTGAGTTACATCATGAAAATTCAGGGCAAACCTGTTGGAATCCCTTGATTGAACATAATGCATGTTGCGAACATAATGCGTTTATAAATATCGATGAAACGATTCGCGACAGCAACTGTGGCGGCGGGGAACACGGAATACCAGTTTTCCCAAATCTGTGTGCAGGAGACTCTTTGCTGCATACCTGCATGACGTAAAGGAATATTTTATTAAATCTACATGTTTGAATACAGGACACGGCCGAGATGGGAACTCCGTATTGCATTTCTACTCATATCTCGCGTAATATTTCGGTCTCGAAGTAACAATAAACCGGCGCACACGACGTATAAGGCAAAACAAATGAAAACCATATTTTGCGTGTTCGACGTTCATCGAGAAGTCGAAAGAAATATCAAATGGAATGGAGTATTTTTTAAATCAAAGTATAATCAAAAAGAATCCTGTATTAAAGCACAAGTTGAAAGCGTCCATCAAATTGGTTTCATGCGATTTTCACACGATTGCGTTTGAAAACGTGCTGTTGAATGGGAATTAGTTGTCGTGTCCGTTGGTAAATCAACTTCTCCACTTCATGCTAATACTACTGCGTGTCTCACGAAGTTTCAAAGTCGATTATCTGAGAAATGAAGTCTTCCAGGAAAGAATTGTGTTCCGTTTCAATTCAATTTTTCATGTAGATCTGAGTAAGCACACATTCGTTTCTAGGTTATGGGAACGAGTTACTTTAGGAACATTTCAATTTCTATCAGAAAAATGAATAGTTTAGAAGTCATTATAATAAGTTGTAATTGTGTCGTTATGGAAGTCATTAGAAACAAAGAAACAGTTTGAACGATGCATCGTTTATTAGTATAATTTTCGCAAAACACATTTGTACCGAGTTACAATGTTACAACATTGGCTTTAACAAATACATATGTACATAAAATTATATGCTTTGCATTTTTGACATGTATGAAAGAAAATCGCTTCGTTCTCAAACAGATAGCCATATATAGTATGCCCAAAAAGTTCAGTGAATGTCGGAAAAATAAAAAAGCAGAATATATTAACAGATTACTTTTAATGTCCCTTAAATGAATTCTTCTACGGAACACATTTTTGGCAAGGTGTATATAACCTTTATAAATTGTCAGCGAAGGTTATCTAGGAATCGATCGCAGTACCGAAAAAATATTCCGATAGTAACGGAAGGTTACTTTCACCCCTTGTTCTATAATATCGTGTCAGACTGGCGGTGAGAATTTCAAACCGAATTCGAAAAACCTACATGATATTCACTTTTTTAAATATAAATTAAATATTACTTTCCTATTATTCATTATAAACCTAGCAAACGTACATTAACTTTCAAGTTCCCTTCCCTTTCTAATAAATTACTAACAACAATGTGATCCTACGTCATTTGAAATTCTTTAACCAATTACATTTCATGAAAAGAAATATTCTTCCCATCCGCATCTCACTCAACCACAAACTTTTAAAAATTATGTCTATAATCAGCTAAACGTTTCGTCCTGCTATTGCCCGTCGCAAAAGTCTCAATATTATTTAAGTACTTTATTTTCTATTATCATTCACCGAGCCTTATTCAAACATAGCACATATAAAAACACATCTCGTTAATAATTACAGTAATACTCAATTGGAATTATAATAATCTATTTATTATAACGCTCTTACTTCGTAAACTCCTTACACTTCATTTACATCGCTTTCTTTTCTATACTACACATCTGCCAGTGAAATGAATAAATAAACAAATAGATAAACAAATAAATACATACATATTGAATCGTAACAATATTCATTACTTTCGACAGAATGCGCGGTGAAGAGCGGTGGAGCTTACTTCGTAAACTCCTTACACTTGATTTACATGCCCTTCTTTTCCTATACTACACATCTGTCCGTCAAATGAATAAATAAACAAATATATAAATAAAAAAATCAATACATACATATTGGATCATAACAATATTCATTACTTTCGACAGAGTGCGCGGTGAAGAGCGGCGGAGCGGTGGTGGAGCACCATCAGTCTTCGTACTGGGAGCAACCCTTTAGCCAGCCGTACTTCGACAACACGACGAAGAGGGAGACCACGACGACCGTCGGTCAGACTGTTTACCTGCACTGCAGGGTGCGCAATCTCGGCGATCGTTCTGTAAGTTTCGAGCCAGCTTATTGCCCTGACCCCCGTGTAATAAGAACGTCGACGCGAGCGCGCACGGGGACGTCGCGTTTCACGGATGAGTAGCCGCCTGATGAAACGGTCCCAGCCGGGTCCTGACCCTGTGGTACGCCTTTCACCGCAGATTTTCCCGCTCGTCCCGTCGACCGACGGATTTTCTAGCAATTTCTGCCGCGATTCCTGGACCCGATTCTAACCCTCCTGACAGCGGAAAGTAGCGCTCCTCGCGCGCGCCGGGGAAAGTGAAAGCGGATAAGACGCCGCTTAATTTTTGACACGTCGCGCAAAGTGAATCTCGGATCGCCCTCGTGATTTCTTAAACAGCCCCGGCTCCTTTCCCGATCCCTCGCTAGTGAATTTCAAAGGGGAATGGATTCTCTTAGTTTAATGTCCGTGCGGAATTGTGCGGGACAGTTTACGGATTCTGTTAACGGCCCTTTATACGCAGTTATCGTGCAGCGGCTGTGGGAATTAATTAATAGGTTCGGGTGATTAGGAATTGATCAATGTTTAATGCGGCGGTATTATTATTAACGATTAAACGTTAAATTCGCTGTGTTTAGCGTTCCATAACTGTTGATTGTGTTTTGCGGAGCAGTTGAGTTGGAACATTGTGCTCTTGTCTTGTATTAAGATTTTCAGATATTCTTATCGGGTTTCTAATTAGTGCGTTCCAGTTTTGCATTATGTTCGCGAATTGTGTATTTTTGACTTTGCATACGGTATTCTATTGATCTTCTCTTTGGAACTCGTTTTGAATATTCCGTGATAAATATTAATTTCGTATTTTATCGACTCGTTTGTATACGATGATTATTTGACAAACTGTCATTGACTTTTTCTTAACACAAACGAAATATTCCTCTTTTATTACTAATCGTTAACACGTTGACTGCCACGAGAATTTCGAGCGCTTTGTTATAGTAAAATTTATTCCTTTATAATAGAAGAAAATAGTATTAGAAATAATTATTAATGTCTTGGTATTACAGTACTCATACTACATTATTATCTAGCTTCTCATGTTACTAAACATTTTGATTCAACATCAATTTTCTTATTATAATTGTTTCCAAGCAATTTAGAAGCTTCGGTCACCGGTGACCACCGTGGCAGCGTGTTAACCTTTCAATTAAACCTAGACATTCAATAAGTAATTATTATCCCATTAACTACTACGGGAGCTCCTACAAGCCACAAGAATAATCAAACTACAGTAAAAATAAATGAAGAAGCTACACAATCACTGATTCCTTATCAACATTCACCTATTCTAACGTAAATACTCCAAAAACTTCCTTTTCACCCCAAAAGCTTTAAAAACTCTCTTGCAGTTCACGGGTTAACGATAAAGCACTTTTATCGAGCACAGTAGCGAAAGAAATCATAGATCAAAAGATTATCACGTCCTATACCACGGAAAATACAATTTCACGTAGCTCGAATCATTCTGTATCATTCGCAGAAAACGTTGATCGGCGTTGCGCGAGCATCTTAATGAAAAGTACTTTGCCGGATAAGTACCGATCGCTGTGAAATAGTGACGTTACTCGTTATCGGCGTTAGTCATGCATCACCGCGTGACACACAGGAACCCGTTGGAATCCAATCACCGATCGTAATCGACGATAAATCAAATTTCTCTCCAGCCCGTACCCGCTCCGGGCTGTACGCGCCGCGCCGCGCGTGCACGGCTCTCTATCTGCGCCGGCCCAGGCGTTTATATTCGTGGTGTAAAATCAATGTGGCAACACTCGGTACATTGTAGTTGCGTGCGACAGCTTCATGCCGTTCGTTGTTTCAAAGCGGCGGCGAGATCACAAAAAATACCGGCCTCAAAGGCTCGTTTGCCTCCCCGTTCATTAATACATTATTCACTGTTTTAGCCCCCGAGCCACGGTTCGCGACACGATGACCGTCTAAGCTACTATACGTTATGGAAATTCATGTTTCCACGGGCCGGTCCAGCGAGCGTCACGCTTGTGATTAGTATTTAAATTGTTTCTAATCAAAACGAACAGGGAACTGTTTACAGTGTTTTCTTTTGGTCCTCGGGGATTAACACCTTGCTGGAGAGGTGATTGTTGTTGATAACTTGACTTTATGCAACTAGATTATCAAATTTTATAGATATTAAACCTTTGCACTCGGAATTTTGTGAAACTAACTTGACAAATTGCGCGTATATTGACAGACAAAGCTATTTTATGTCAATATTTCTTAAATTGATGCATTATATGAAGTATAATATTAAATATTAATAACTAGTTAAATTATTTATGATGCATCGATACGAGAAATATTGAGAGAAAGTTGCTTTGTTATTAGTTTATGTATGCTTTCTTCTTAAATAATTTTAAAGAGTGTCGTTTGTGTATTACCGGAAAATGTTGGATATATCTAGCCGAAAATATTCGAGCGCAAAGAATTAAGTACGGAATTCGACCTTTAAGTATGGAAGTGTGACAATTACTGATTAATGTTAAACACTCTCGTTTGTGGGAATAAAAGAATGTATTGTGTTTATTTATTTTTGCTCGGTTGTTTTTACTTATTTAAATACCTCTGCGTTGCGATAGTATGAATTATATAACGAAAATTTCATTGATTTCGAAATCGATGATTTTATAAAGAGGTTTTTGAGACTGCACGTCCATGTTTAAAGGTTAAGGCAAAATTGTTGAGAGTAATTAGTCTGGTCTTTTAAAATTGAGACGAAACTGTTGAGAGTAGTTTCCCTGATTCTTGAAAATGAAGTCAAAGTGTCATGGAGAATCACTTTTCCGATCTTTAAAAGTGTATGCTTTCGTATATTGTTCTGTTTAAATTTTGATTTCGTTGGGTTTAACGATTTCTAACAAAACTGTTTGATTATTCATGCGGACACTATTCGTTGTATTCGAACACCTGTGATATATAGACCTCTGAGTCAGGCCAGTCGTGACCTATATATGGTTGATCGGACTAAACGCATTAATTATACGAGATAAACCCATTAGTGTTCATAGGGACACGTGGAAGTTACATTAAAAAATGGTATAGCCCGATACAGGAAGATTTTTTACTTTTATATAAAATCAAATTGTGTAGCCTCGTACAAGCAGTCATTTTAATAGAATTAATGAGGATAAATGGGAAAGAGAAGCAATATACAATTTCAATTACTTTAACTAGAACTACCAAAGACGTCAAAATGACCATTTCCTGATTGCTTCTTTAACAATGATTAAAAACATAACAGATAATTCTCTGAGAAATTACAGAAATTGATTCAACAATAGACAAACTGAAAGAGAAGCAATATACAATTTGAGTCATTTTAACTAGAACTACCAAAGACGTCAAAATGACCATTACCTGATTGCTTCTTTAACAGTGATTAATAACATAACAGATAACTGTCTGAGAAATTACAGAAATTGATTCAACAATAGGCAAACTGAATTTTAAATCAATAGAAGTCTCAATAGCAGCACTATTAGAGTTTCCACAGAAAAATTTCAAAACGTCAATTTGACTGTTCGGTAATTCTAGTGTTAAAGATAAATTTCAGCTAATTCTTCGATGCAGACGTGAGTTCTATCTTCTTCCCACGGTCCAGAGTATTCAATATGCAATTGATGAATTATAAATCCATATTCTGGATTTTATCGAAAACCGGGAAACGTGAGCGTCAATCTTGCATCTTGTTTACCTGCATTCTAATGCCGGCGAATTCGGGTCGAAGAACGCCGAAGTTAAGAAACCTGCCTAATCTTTTATTGATTATTCTCGGCCACTCATGAAAAATCAGCGACGCGATATTTCAATATTCAGTTTCATAAAATGGGTCGCGCGTAAGAATTTTTAAGGCTGAACCACAGTGATAAGCCAATAGCTAGACGCTCGAGGTAGGTCATTGCAGAGAGACATAATTTCACGATTTAAAACGACGCTACTGACTAATTGGAATTTGCCTATAGTTTCATTGTATTTAATCTACCTGCGTGTTTACTTAATTTAATTTACCTATGTTTTCATTGATTTTAGTCTATCCACATTGTTCACTAAATTTCATTTATTTATACTCCTGTTTAATTTGGCCTATCCGTATATTACTTCATTTCAATTCAAAAAACAATTGTTCGTCTGTTAGTTTGTTGAAAGCAAATTATTAGCAAACTGTAGTTCGCAAGGTATCCGTTTTATCTCGTGTGTTGCAATAAAGATTAACGTAATATAGTAAGTTAACGTAGTAACGTATATCACATTAAAATTTAACGTAATAAAAAGGTTAACATAATAAATAAACGTGAGAAACTGTAAGTAAGAGGAATGTACTTAGAATGTACGTCTAAGTTACGCACTTACCCATGTTTGCATCAGATTTCGGTCAAGGGTAACAATCTTGCAGTAATTGCACGCTCGTAAACATCAACAGAGCATAATTAGCTGATTAATAATCCAAGCCCCTCGTTGGATATCTTCGTATCCCCCCTAATTCTCGAAAACTTCTATGAACTCGGAGTTTACTTGGCGAACTAATACAAAGTTTATGGTTTATGGTTCAAAGTCAGCCGAACATCACTCTATTGTGCACCATTCAATTTGTCTTGTTGTCAACGATAAGAGTGTTCAATAGCTTAACGAGGTCACGACCGTCTTCACAATTAACCCATTTCGCCTCGAGATTCTCATTTCGGACATTGCACTTCTTCGCAAATAAACGACAAATTTTTTACAATAACGTCATTCTGCTTAGCAAAGTTACTGTCATCAAAAATAGTACTTCTGCACACTGCTCATTATTCATTATTTCTGTTGTCACAGCTTGATGTCAATGTTTATTTCGCAATAAAAAGAAGCGGTCGTGTGACGTTTTTATCGATACATTGAATTTTGGTTTTTGCAACGTCTACTTATTTTAACAATTTTTTCTACATTCATTTGTGGTGTCACAATTGTACCATTTAATGGTACCGTTTCAGTGATTCCTGATTATTCTTGAATAAATAATTAGATTGCTATATTAAGCTGTAATTGAATGAAACAACGCCAATTGTTAGTACTTTTCCGTTCGTTTCCTTTTCTTCGTTTCATCGCGTTTTCAATTTGTCGAGGATACTTTCAAATTTTGAAATAGTACTAGAAACTATTATTCGACTGTGCGCTAATACTTTCCCAATGATATTTCAAATTTGCGGATAAATCGAGGACCGACGTACAAATCAGTTCCACTGCGAATCTGTCAGACCATGAAACGTTTTTTTCTCTGCCAGTTGGTTCCTTCATTTTTTAAATGTCATCGGTTGACGTTGAGGCACGCCACGTGTTCTCGTGAACCAGTTGAGAATCGGAGTAAAAACAATGGCTATCTGATTGGAAAAAGTTTCATAATTCTATTTCTTTTAAACTCACGCCACTTTCCATAAAAGCGCGCGTGAAATCGTTTAAATAAGTGACTGTTTAAGAAATTCGTCGATTTTGAAATACTTAGTAGTCATAATGTTTGATCATGGAGAAAAAACATTACTTATGGAATATTTTTCATGGACACATAAAGAAATACAGAACGTTGTCGTATGAATACTTTCGTTACTCAGTGTTCCCGCAGAATCTGCATATTTAAATCATAAATTCCATATTTTATAATGATAATTCGAGGTTCCATTCGATTTTCAACTAAAGCCACGCCGAACCTTTACTCTGGCTGAAAATAATGAATTATTTTCACGTTATACACGTTGGAAACACGAAATCACCGGTGAAAAATATGAATTTCGAATTTCAAGAACTTACTGTTTCCACATTGTTTAGAATTCTGTTCGCTTTGTTCGCTTAGGAATTGAAGTGTCGTGGGTCACTGTATAAAACTGAAATATAGGTCCAATGTCAGTGGCGGCGGTACTACCACAAACGCGGTCCTTTTACCGCATAATAAAATGGCCCTCTATAAATCGCGCAGATACCACAATAGGTGATCACGTGAAACTTCGATTAATTTACATAGATGGCGGTTCATTATGCTTTATTTATACTTCAGTGGTCGCGTGTTTCTGTACAGATGCACTGGACGACGACTGCACATGTTGCATCGCGATAAACAGAGCAATTCAATGTCCCTCGTTTGAATGTAAAAAAATTCCGAGAGACAGTTTCTATTGTTCGAATGGATAGAATTCGATGCCACAAACAGATTATCGTTCTACATCGCCTGTATTTGTATTCTATATTATTTGAAGATTACCCATGCTTCGTGTAAAGTACTGTACAATGATATTTTCAAACGAATTATTCACTGTTTCAACGATGTCTCCCAATTCCTTCAACTTCCCGAATTTTTCAATTTATATACAACTCTATATACTAATTACAATAAACAAAGCAACTTTCACATTCCTTTCTCATCAAAATTCGCAACTCAATTACACTAATTTTAACACTAAAACCAAGGTCAACATGATCAATTTCCATTCCCTTTTTGTCAATAAAATCTCGAAAAACTCGCAAAGTCGAATTAACCGATTCGCCTAATGAACGATTCAAATTACAAACTCCCTCGCATTCCGAATAATCGATTCCTCAGAGTGCCACTAATAATCACACAATCGTATAACGGTTCACCGGCGCATAATAGAGGTCACATACTTCACCAGCGAATCGGATCGGTAATGTAAAACTGGTGTGTTGCAACGGTAGACAATATCCGGTGCGGCGTCCCTAATTGATACTTAGCAAACGAACGCTTCTTGCCACAATTAATTTCCCGCGGAGACGTTTCGGGGCATCAATTCTCTGTTCTAAACATCGCTCAACCAGAGAGAATAAACGTTCCGCCGATAAGCCATCCGTTTGCCAATGTTCCCCGTGTGCTGCTGTTCTAATTATATCCGGCCGAAAGTTAAATTGAACCGTGAAGTTTTTTCTACGAGAACAAAAAAAAATCCACGGGCTTAACATTCGGGGATAATTGAGCTCGATAGCGGTCAGCGTGCGGCGGCGCACGAAGATTATTGCGGATCGGATAAATGTTTTCACGTCAAGAGCTTCGTGGAAAGTATATTTCTTTTTTTCTTCTTTTTTTTTGTTTCGTCGAAATACGATTTTCTCACGATTCAATGTAATGGGGAATTTCGTCGGCAAAGCGGATCGAACGGGGGATTTACCAAAGCGCAGAAACATAAATTTCGCCGGAATTCCTGCTCGGTATTATCCAATAAATACTTTTCTTTGTTATTAATCAAATTATTCGAACGTTACGAGCCGAGGATTTATTCTCGTTCACGTGCGCGCCAAGCGTGGTTCTGATTTTTTTTTGGAACTCGGAGTTTTCCTTTTTGTTTTTCATCATTTTGACGCGGTGTATGGATCGTGTCGAATATTGCGCCGGATTTTCGAATGTAATTCTGACGCTGCCAGGATTCGGTTCGCAATTAACTTACTGAGTGGGATGAAATTTTGTGTTTAAACGGTCGTATCCGATTCTGTACGGATGTCGAAATAAATTTGTCACGTGTCTCGGAAGTGTTCAGCTTGATTTCATTATAAGTAAGATAATAGTACTTTAATCATCATGTTTTTGTAGTTCAAAATAATCAAATTCCGAAAGCAAGTAACTGATCAATTGAATATAAAATATTTATTTTCCGCGGAATCTTCTTAAGTAAATGAACCGTGTAAATTAACTTTTTGCACTCGAGAGGTCATCACCTGATTTGGTGCAGAAAACTATAAAATTTGATATCTAATATTACACTGTATAATTCATCGATGTGTGAAATATTAGGATAAAAAATCTTTTTCTCAATTTACTTGTGACTTCTCTTTGAGTTCATTTCAAAAAACATCGTCTTTGTCTAGTTAGAAGATGTTGAATATTTCTAGCGGAATACTTCCGAGTGCAAAGGGTAATATTTACCCCTTTGCGGGTGACAGCCGACTAACAGTCACCATGTGATTCGACGCAGTGAATTTATAAAGTTCAATATTCAATAGCAACATTCGTACGATGCAATTACAAATGAAACGATGAAATAGAATAATTCCCTTTGCTCGCATATTATATATTCATATCAGTCGCGAGAAGAAGCATTAACCCTTTGCACTCGGAAGTTTCTCACTAGAAATATTTAACATTTTTTTACGCGACAAAGACGATATTCTTTGGAACTAACTCGAAGGGGAATCACAGGTACATTGAGGAAAAAAAGGTATTTTATTCCAATATTTCACGTATCGGAGTATTATACAAAGTTTGATATTAAACATCAGATTTTATAGTTTTACTGTGTCAAATCAAGTGGTGACTGAGAGTCACCTTCCGAGTGCAAAGGGTTAATTCATTAGAAACTGATGAATATATCTAGCGAAAAAAGTTTCCCACTTAATATTTTGTTATTCAAGATCTAGTAGAAAATCAATCGTTATTCGTAATTAATCCTGCAATGGAGTTCCTATTCTATTAAACGAATGTGAATCCTGATCTGTTCACAGGTCTCATGGATCAGACAACGAGATTTACACATCCTCACAGTAGGAATCCTAACGTACACGAATGACGAGCGTTTCCAGTCGTTGCACAGTGACGGAACCGATGAATGGACCTTGAAGATTTCTTCACCTCAGGTTCGAGACAGCGGGATATACGAGTGTCAAGTCTCAACCGAACCGAAGATCAGCCAGGCTTTTAACTTGAGCGTTGTAGGTCAGTAAACACGGAACACGTACTTTATATGCGCGTTAATTAAATTTCTCTTGGACATTCAAACAGCCCATAATCACACGACCATAAGAAAAGAAACGTGAAATCACAATTTACAACAATTTAAATTGATGCCACGCATAAATCTCTTTTCCCCCGAAATTATGTGTTTCTTTGTGATACATTTTATTTAACGTTTACTGTTTTATCGTTGATTAATGTGCGAGATATTTTTGAAGGGTAGCATTAAGGAGCTATTCCACGTCCATAGTAAATCTAATCTGTCCACTCTCCGAATTTTACGACCCCATTGGAGCCTGAATTATGCACTTCGTACGTATTGAAAGTAAAACTAATTTTGTATAAATTGGACTATGAATTTTTTATGCGACTGTACGTGTTTATAGTGAAAGATCGTGGAAGTAGACTGAAATCTTAATAGTGTTTTCTCTATTAACAGGTACAAGTTAAAAATAATATGCAAAAATATATAAATGTCCCATAAAAGCTTTTATTTAAAGCTGTTTTTGTTTGACAGTCTTTAGAAACTATAAATGTATGAAAAGCTGCATTTTAATTATCATGTTTCGTTCGAAGCGTAGAGAAATTTCAGAATTCAGTTTATGTCTATCATTGACTAAAAATTGAAATAAGAATAAGTTGAACTTAGATTAAAACTAAATAATGTTCATTCATATCACTAGGCCTTGAAACATTTAAGAAAACTAGGTTAAAACCATGTTTCAAGTTGGAAACACATTCCTCACATTGAAGGTATATTTCTTTTTATTTAAAATCATAAAAGCTGAAAGTGTTTAATAGTCATTGAAAACTACAGATTTGAAATTATTCATTCTTTCTTGCCTATAATACATTTCCACCACTTTGTCACTTTACAAAATGTAACATAAGATTCAATAGAAACATCGTTATATTTCAATGATTACAACACATTATAAGAACATTTTCAAACCGAATTTTTCGCGTCACTTCGGTACATTGCGCCTCTACGTACGACTGTTGAATTCTTAATAGACATTAAACCGGACTGTCGGTCAGCCATTAAACCGCTGTTAAAATATTCTCCATCAGATTTTCCAAGGTAACATTCGCACTGTCCGCTTTGAAGATATTTCAACGAAGGCAACCGACCGGTAGCATTAAAAGATAAACTATTAAACCTATATTCCGTCAGAAATTTCAAATTAAAAAGCATCACAAATAATTACTCCCAAAACGTCGTGAACGATCTCTTTCAATTTCGACTTTTTTCCAATATCGACTTTCTCAAATTTCTCTGCGAAATTCTACATATTCATTCTCTATCTTATTCTGTTTCATTTGCGTTCATCGTTTACGCGACTCGTCCAATAACGAAACTGAGATGAAACGAAGCCGTCAATGTTGCTAGCAAATAACACCGATGTTTGAAAGAAGATTTCTGAAAGGAATGCTGATCTAAGTAATCAGAACCTAGTGTGTTCTCGGCTCCAGTGTGCGATCGGTCGAAACGATCACACACACTAACTCCATCGTATCTTTTTTCAAACAACGGACGGTAATGTAGTGAAGGATTTGGGTATTGTGAGTAGGGATAGTTTATTGTGACGAACTTATTAACCCTCTGCGAACGGATGTCGACACTTCGGAGAGATGAAATGATGTTTCGAAGACTAAGTCGCCAACAAATGATGTAATTACTCAAACAACGAGAGATCAGCGCGTAGTTTCTGTTTTTTCGATGACTTAAGCAATTGGTATATAATTTAGCTTCGTCTGTTGAAGGTTTTGTATATTTCAAAGCATCTCCGTTCGCAAAGGGTTAAACCTATAAGGTATTTAATGTAAAATATGTATATAGTAGGTTTCACCGTACTACGTGTTACTTAAAAGGCTCTCGCCCTTTATCTTGTCTAAACTCTCTCTCATACACACACTTTTCTCGAAAGAAACACACGCACTCTTCGCCCGATTTCTAAAACTCAAACATCGTCCGACGCATCGTCCCAAACACTTAACCCCTTGGCCTGTGACTTCTTTTTCCACTCTGATCGACACGGCTACTTTGTCATGAATAACTTATTGGAAAAAGAGAAAAATTCTAAGCGTATATTATGCCTATATTTCCTTTGAAGTATAACAGTTGATTACAGAGGAATAATATTTACTTTGAATTCGAATGAACTGAGTAATATACATACATATAGATTTCAAATAGAATTTAACAAAAGTAAATATTACTCAGTTCTGGTGAATCAAATTAAATATTATTTTTCTGTTATCAATTATTACCCCTTTGGAGCAGACGTGGGCATAGAATACGCCTAAAATTTGTCCCTTTTTTCAATAAATTATTAATGACAAAGTAGTTGGATTGGTCGTAGCTGAGAAATAAATCAGAGTAAAGGGCTAGTATTACATATAAAATTGTATAATTTTGTTATAACAAATTAAATGGTGAGTCATCTTTCGAAGTCATCTGCGAAGGGTTAAGGTAGTTTATCATTGCATCGCAGCGTGGAAAAGTTTATATATATTTGTTGAATCATGTTGAAAATCTTCACGCGTCTCACTCGTTGGACAAGTGGTTAAGCAGGCACGCAGTTCCACACCGCACACATTCATACAAACAACGCATATACGCTCGGACACACTACGGTAGCTATAAGTTGCCCATGCTTCTTCGTCGGTGAATCAACATGATCCGCGGACTTGTTTCGTTCCGTGGCTCATTGGGCCGACGGACACATTATATCATTACGGTCGATCACAATGTAGAGTACTCCGGAGCATGTTCATTCGAGAAATGTATTGATCTAAAGCGCCGGGGGGTGGGTGTCCATTATGTTTGCAGTGTCGAAGGCAAAGATCAACGGCAATTCGGAGCTGCACATCAAAAGCGGAAGCGACATCAATCTAACCTGCGTCGTACTGCAGACACCTGAGCCGCCGTCCTTCATTTACTGGTGAGTTTAATTGGACTTTGCCGAATTCAATTTGCCTTCAGACATAAATGCCGAATTCGCACGCTCGCCGGCCGCGACACGGCCGAAGAACTTTGCCAATGAAGTTCTCCATGAATCATCGAGACGATGCTCCATAGGTCTCGATTACACAGGCCGAAGTGAACGCGTAACACGATGTTGATAGGCGGATGGAAAATCGGAATTGCTTTTCTTTCCCCGGCGCGCGTCCTCCCAGCAGCCCCGCGTTCCGCTAATCGAACGCTCCGATGATCAAACTGCAAATAGTTCGTAATTCCCTAGGAAATTCCCGGCTGAACCTGATTAGAAACGGTCGCGGCGGCGCAATCAGCGAATTCCGCAGTTTTCGCGCGTTCTTTTCGATACGCGCGCTCTTAACAGTCCAGTTAATGCGTTCGTTTCAGCTGTATCGAGGAAATTAACCCTTTGCAGTCGAAAGTTTTTCCATAGATATATTCAGCATTCTCTGATGAGATATTAGACGATATTCTTTGAAGCTGAGTAATAAGAAAACACGCGTAAGTTAATGAGAAAGCTATTTTGTTTTAATATTTCACATATTGCTGCATTATACAGAATTTAACCCTTTACCTTGTAATAACCTGTGATATTTGTGAAGATTTCAAATATAATTTAACAAAAGTAAATATTACTCAGTTCTGGTAAATTCACATTAAATATTATTTTTCTGTTATCAATTATCACCCCTTTGGAGCAGACGTGGGCATAGGATATGCCTAAAATTTGTCCCTTTTTTCAATAAATTATTAACGACAAAGTAGTTTGATTGGTCGTAGTTGAGAAATAAATCAGAGCAAAGGGTTAGCATTACATATAAAATTTTATAATTTTGTTATAACAAATTAAATGGTGAGTCATCTTTCGAGGTCATCTGCGAAGGGTTAAGGTAGTTTATCATTGCTTCGGAGCGTGGAAAAGTTAAACGCAATTTGACTCAACGTTCCTGGGAGAGAATGTAATCTAAACGAATTAACATCTTTGTCTTCAACACGTTAGGCGCCATGGGAATCTCGAACGTTTTATACATGACTTGTCTTAATTAATTAATTGGCAACAGAACTCTTACATTACGTTATTGTTAGCTTATTTATGTTATTAAATATTTTCAGTCGACAGCGGTCATCTAGCGTATTGTAATTTTTTTCCAGCAATTCAGAAGCGTCGATCACCGATGACGGCATTTGACGTGTTAATTTCAATTGTTTATTCAATTCCATCGACTTCAGTGTTTTTGTGTACTCAGATTTGTCGGTTCGAAGTTTTTATAAAAATTTGTTATATCAACTAATTATCATTCTGTTTTAATCCTTATCGTGTAGACCTTCTGGATATGTTGAAAAACGAAGATTTACTCTTAAAGTTTAGCTTCGTAACGATACTTGACACCATTTTATACATGAAGCGTCAAGTACTCTGTAAACTGGAAATAATGGCACTCCGTTCTCATTTTGCACCTTTGAGACATTGCTAACACGCTTTTTTAAATTTTACTACGGGTGCTCGTCCGTGGAAGTTTCCCTTTTTTGACCGCAGAATTTTACAGGAGACATTTAAATTCCGCTCTCGTTCCACATGCACGTCTCCATGCAACAGAAACAGAGACCGCCGGCAAAAGAATTGTATAAAATTACATTTTTTGTTACGCGAAAAGAATAATGTTCCCGGTTACTCAATTCCGACGACAATTCTCATTCACAATACGACAAGTTATTATAACTTTTGCGGTCTGCAATTTACGTAGCCACTACGGCTCTTCTTGTACCTTATTTTACACTGCAGAATGCATTTCGTCGTATCTTGATAAAAATTTATCATCCAAGAAACTAGAAGGGCCCACTGGAACTGTTTCGCGTTTACATCTTTCCAAAATGTTTCCACCGATTGCCAAAACAAAACAATATTATGTATTAATATACGCCTGAGGTAAATTAATTAATCAAACGAAAGAAAAAGATAAAGTACGTAAACATTTTTCTTTTTAAATGCTTTTAATGTACAACTCAATTTATGCCAACTTTGAAAAGATCAGCTGTGAATGTCTTTTCTTTCTCTCTTGGTCTTAACATTACCATGAAAGAATTGTTATCAAATTTTCTTTTGGATTTCGATTATTATAATTACTGGAGAAAATGTTAAACATTATGATTAGCTCTAATTGTTCAATCAGGGACATTACTGGTCCTTTATGTTACATTCCTTTATAATTCTTTAAGAGTCAAGACACGTGACAAGGAATGCCAACTATATTATTGAATTTTCGTTAGAGACGAATTATTTATTGATTTACCTGTCCCTACGGCACCACACAAATTTTTGTCGGAGGACGTTTTTTTATGCAGTAAATAATTTACGGGCAATATATGGTCGCCAAGTGAGGTGCCATGCCCTGTAGCATTAAAGCAATAAATTTACCTTCGCACGGCAAAAATAATATGGCGTATATTTCCTCATAAAGAGTGTCACGTAAAAGCAATCTTAAAAAAGATGCTTCAACTTTACGTGCACTCCATTGTTTTCAACAAATTTATCATGCAAATGGAATCCTATTTCGCGTCAAGTTGACGAGCACGCCATGTTTGAGATTGAATTATGTTTGATGCATGGTAGTATATTATTTTTCATACAACAATGTCTGGAGTTTGTAAAATGAGAAGATGTGAATTTATCTGACCATGTTATCTCCGTTGATGTTGATAAAAGCAACGTGAAATTGTATAAAATTGATGTGACATAGTTGTTAACAGCAACAACTATTTTACATTGCATCTACATGAGTAAAGTTTCTTTAAAAAAAAAAAATGATAAGAATCGTTCGATTCCATGACATAATAAAGATTGCTGAATGTTCTTCATTAAAACGTTGTTTAATTTCTGCGCAAGGTTCTCACTAACAGAGAGTGATCACTTCCAGGTACAAAGGTGACCACGTGATAAATTACAGTCAAAGAGGAGGGATCAGCGTAGTTACTGAAAAGCAAACGCGAACATCACGCCTCTTGATCTCCAGAGCGTTACCTGCTGATTCTGGAAATTACACATGTGCCCCGTCTGCGGCCGAGAAAGCCAGTGTCCTAGTCCACGTACTCAATGGTGGGTGAGTTAGAATAATAAAAGTTTGAAGAAGGAAACATTTCTCTGCACACGTTCCGACGTTTACAGGATAGATCTTAAAGTCTACTGATTCGCCTACTGCTACGTTAGTATTTGAACCAACAAATGAGAAATCATATAAAAAATGTGCTTATTTGTCAGCGTATTAACATACAATACAGCCAATTTATCCACTTGGTAATTGTAGTGCTAGACGATTGAAACTAATCTGTTTTTCCTTAACATGAGTATTTTCAATAATATATCTAACAGACATGAGATAAAGTATAAAGTATGAAGTATAAATCAACGCAAGGCAATCTTTTAACAAAAATAAGCATGTCGTATGATTTAATCTCTTGAATATTATAGTATATATAAACCTTAAAAAACTTTTTATTTAAAACAATGAAATAATACAGGTACTTATATACAAAATCCATTAGAATAGGTTATATGACTAACAGCTTTTCTTTTTAAATACTTTATTTATAATAAAGAATGTAAAAATTGAATCTATAACTAAAAAAAGGTACGTGAGATTTGAAAGACTTCGATTCTCATGAAAACAGCTCTTCGATAATTCTATTCCAGCTTTTCTATGCAGACTTTTAAAAGGATATAACAATAATTAACGATTAACTGTCAAACAAATTTCTTTAATATTCCATCATCACGTACGTTTATTGTCTTTAGGAGTGTTGATAAATTATCGACTTGAATTTACGACAGAACATTTCGAATGCATTACTGGAACGTTTAAAACATTCGATCAGCAGTTACGACGTAGACCTTAAAACTGACGAAATGTCTTAATATACTTAATATTAAAGACACCGGAAGCTTTTCCGAGGAATTCGGTAAATTCGGGTGTTACCGAAACTATTTCGGGGGGAAGCTGCGAAGCGAAGACTAGCAGAGCGCGACGACGGAGCTTTACGAACGCCGTAAATCCAGGGAATGACAAGCGTGGTAGGTCGGGGTGTAGATAAACTAAACGGTGAAGGTCATAAAAGGGGAAGCAGAATGCAGGCATCGGTGTCATCAGCTTCTGGCGTCATGCGCGCTGCACAGGACGCAATAAACACAATACCATTGCCGGTATATTGGCTGAAATGAGGAAGCTCGGAGAGAAGGATTACTCCTCGCCTCGAAAATTTCGCGAGAGATTGTTCCCGTTGGAATCCTTCAATTTTCGATTGAATTCAAATCCTTAAATATTCAATCTTCAGTTGAACGCAAAATTGACATTTTTCTATTTACAGTTCAGCTCTAATGTTTCAATTTTCTATTTCATCCGGGTGTCTCAATTTTCGCTTTCGTTCATATCCTTCAATTTCCAATTTCATACAGATCTCACAATTTTCAATTTCATTCGATTCTTTCAGTTCGAAATTGAATACGAATCTCTAAATTTTCAATTCCATTCGAATCTCTCAATTTTCAATTGATTTCCAATCTTCCAATCTTCAATTGAATTCAAGATGTACAGATACCCATCATCCTAATTCTATATGACTTTAATCAACAACAATAAATACTACCATTCAGAATTGTTAAAAACTATCAAGACATCAAGCAACACAATGTTTAATAATGTTCCTCAAGATCCCGCGTAACCCAAGTAGGTACCGCGTTATTAGAGGGTTGCTTGTGCTGGCCGTTGTTATTTTTCACATAAATAACGAAAATAAACATGCGAAATGAATCTCTGTGCACGTCTCTATCTCACGATTCTATCCCATATAATACGTGCGCAAATTTGTTTTGGAAACAATGCTATACGATGCATTATGTTTCACATGTTACTGCATAAATGATGAAAAGTAGAAAAGAGTAACAATGGTGATACGGAAATAACGATTAAAATAAAGCTCAACTGAATTTCGCAGCATTAATCGTACCGTTGACGCAAATCAAGCAGAAAATATTCAGTATTATATGGAGCGTTTACATGAACAACGCGTTAATTTGATTAAACCGTTAATTGGATGATATTCAGAACATAAACACTTACGCAAACATAATCCAAGGTAAATACAATTAATGTTCCACATCGTTGAACATCGAAACAACGGAATTTACAATAATACAAATATCACGATTGAATGAAAACGAATGAATCAGTAATATATATAAAAAGAGAGAGTTACAGAAAGTTGACCTTGGACACTGAAGAACGGTTAATTTGTTCTTACGTTGACAAGTTAGTACAAATTGGACGAGCAAACAGAAATCAAGTTTATCAATAAATCACACGACCCTTAGTTTATCTTTTATATATTTTATAGATTTATTAATAACTATTAGATTCGTTATCAACTATTATATATTACAGCTACGTCAAGTATCTGAAAAACGAATCTCAGTTTCTAGCTTTATTAAATTGTTATTTACTGATACTTTTGTATCAGACACTCATTATTCGCAACATATCAAAACCTTTTGTAACTAGCTTTTTCATTACGGTAACCTAGAATATAGGAGCGTGCACGATGTACCAGATAACAATGCTATATTGTCTTACAAAATTAATGTTGCTTGCAACGCACGGTATTACGGTTTATAGATTCACGGTGCTTCTATGCATCTATAAGTTGCTACTGCAATCGAGAAGAAAGTAATTTTACAGAGATAATATATCGAGCAAAAATATAAAAAGCACAAAACGAAAAAAATATCATATTAAATTATTCGATTGAATTATATTATTATTACTCCACGTTCGTCTAGCTAAATATCACCTCATTGGGTAGCATTATTTATAATATAGAAATGTTTTCAAATAATCGTCGTTTAATCAAGTAAACTATAGCAATCCGATTTGTTAAATTTTACATTCAATCTGTTAAGTGTTTCATCCATAGTTCTGTGTTGCGAGTGTACCACAGTTAACCCAATGCCTTATGATTTATTTCTCAACTGTAATCGATACAACCATGTCATTAATAATTTATTGAAACAGAAAACAATTCGATGCAAATTCCATCTCGCGTTTGCTCCAAAGTATAACTGATAACAGAACAATAATATTTCATTTCCATTCGAAAGAATTAACATTTATATTCGTTAAATTTAAAATCTATTTAAAATATATGGTACACGCCAATTTCTCTAAGAAAATATTTTTATGAGTCACGAAGATTGATATGCGTTACAAGGAACATAAAAGAACAATATCAAAATATATAAAAATGACCAAAAACTTGAATATAAGTTAATACTTTGCACTCGAAAGGCGACTCACAGTCGTTTTGGTCGATCCAGGAAATTGACAAAGTGTGATGTATAACATTAATCCTTTGCACTCGAAGCTTTCTCTCACTAATATTATCAGCAATTCGAACGAATTTTAATAGAAAAAGCATATTAACATATAAATAAATGTTATGCACGTGAAATGAAAAGTCATAGACGTATTTTATTGTTTTTCATAGATTATAGATATAAATCTTATAATATATTTAAAGACAAAGTTGTACAGTTCGTAACGGGAAATTTTAAATGGCTCTGCTCCAGAGCGCTCGAGTTGAAAAGGTTAAAGTTCATTTAACATAATTATCCATGAAATCTTAAAATAGAATCTATCCCTTGATTTCTATATTATTTATATTACTGTTAGTTATAAAACCTACCACTGATGTTTCATTAGAAAATGAAGAATATATCTAGCGAAACTGTTCGAGTGCAAAGGGTTAATACTTTATTAACCCTCTATGGGCCGAATTTTTGTTCATGATTGTAACAAAATCTATGCAATACAAAATTAATAAATATCCACATATGAATACGAATTAACAATGTATTCAGTAGTTTCAATAATTTCATCAAACAAATATATTTTGTAACTTTCAAGTTACAATGTCGTTAACCGTTTGGACGCTAAACAACTTTTTTAGACATTTACCAAAAATGCGGAAGTGATTAGATGTGTATGCAAAAAAATTGATAAGAGTACTTATCTAATCAGATCCCAAATATTGTGTTATTACAAAAAAATATCAAAAAATAACATTTATTCAAATAAATTTACTTTGATTTATTTCTTGAGAAACATAGTAAGAAAATTATAATTGATACTTATAAACAGAAGCGCCTCCGCGCTCTCCGCAATTTTGGCACAATACAAGAAGAGCGCTATAGCGCTCCTCAGCACTCAAACGGTTAAACATTCACGCCTAAGCATATAAAAGTTGAAGTTAACTAATTACTGAATTCTATTCACCACTTCGAGTGCAAAATGAAATAAATCAAAAAGATGCCAATATACTGATACGTGACTTCGATGTCACATAGGCCTACAGAGGGTTAAAAAAATCAATACAGTTCAGAAGTAGAATATAACGGAAACTTCCGTGGCACGGAACGCGTTATTCCTTAGCAGTTCAGATGGTTTTGTAATCTATCAGCAACTACAACTAATTTTTATAGTATCCCTAGCGAAAATGAAAAATGCTGTAACATTTCTTCGATCTTTTATTTTCCTTCCTAGCGCAAAATTTGGATGTGTGAGAAATCTAATAATTGTAGAGTAGTTTCTTTAAGATTCATTAAAATATCTAATATTATTCCTGGTGCAATATTGGAGCTTACAGAGTTGAAAGGGTTAAGAATTCGCGAGCGCACGCGTCACAATTTACGGGCGTAAACAAGAGAATAAAAAAAAAAGAACAGGGACGATGAAATAAGTTCGCCGGTTGCATTTGTTTCGTTATACGGCCTGTCAAAAGCCGGAATATATCAGTCAAGATATTACCTCATGCAAATTCCTCCAGGTGCTCCTGGAAGAGCCTATAGTTGCATATGTATAGAAGTACGCGCGCAGTTGTTTCGCGTAGTGGTGCGGCAACCTGAAGAATGAACGTTGAAACACGCGAACGTATGAGATACGAGCATCAGCCACCGCCATTCCGGAAGGATTGCGTGTGACAGTGCAAAGGTATAATATCTTTCCCAGCTTTTCAGTTTCGCTTTCGACCTCCTTATACCGCAGCGATGCG